AAGATGGTATCTAGACCTGGCTTATCCGAGCAGACAACCCGAGTCGAGGAGCGTCAAGCGTCACCAGTAGTAGAATAACACTGGCTAGCTAACGGCTCTCCCGCCTAAATATGTGTGACTAAATCCTTCACCAGAAGCTGGTAGGCTAACTGGCTTTATCTCAAGATAGAAATTTTGTGATGTTGGTAGGCAAATACAACATAACTAACTATCAGAAGACTCAGAGGGGTGCGAGAGAGGATACAATTTATATGTACAATTTAACAATATCAAAGCGGTAAAAAGTGGACAAGTAGCATATTTAGGCACAAATAAAGCACAATATATACAAAAAGTAATAAAGCCAAATAAAATCAATGTACAAGCTCGAATTCTTGAGAGTTCCCCAGCGGAGTCGCCAGAGCTGTCACACCCCTTTTTTACCCCAAATGATATATGTATGGTATGTGGGTAAAAGAGTTTTTCCAATTAAATTGATAATTTTTAAATAGGAATTATTTATTATTCAGAGTCGCCACTTGGAATTGATTTTTGGTGTTCCAAGTCACCTTTTATTTGAATCCCTAGTCAAAAGAAAGTTTGACTCTTTTATTATTGGTCTGCGAAAATAAAGTTCGGATAAGGAATTCTGTTGACCAGGGAGAAGGTGTAAGGTATTCCCCGAGTCCCGTGGTTCTAACACGGTCGCTTTATTGACTAAAAATGGCCTGAAATAATTTTGGACAAACTGTGATTTATTGACTTTCATATTTTATCTATTCGCTTTTATTGCTTGATTATTCGTAATTATGAAATTATCCTGAAACGAGCCACGCATACGTGTACTCGTTTTGTTTGGCGCGTCAAGAATCATGTCACGCGTACGTGTACACAATTAATAACATGTTATTAATATTAAGATTATTTCGTCCAAAGTTGTGCAAACGCATACCTTAGTTTTAATTTTGAAAATCATAATCTTGTCACGCGAACGTGTACATAATCACGATAATTGATTTATTACTGCGCGCTTAAAGCATACTAACGACATTTATGAGTTATTTTCCTAAACTAGTTTGAGATTATTGTGAGGCCATGAATTATGGAAATAACTTTGTGGATAAAGTATACAGTTTATTAAACCAAAGGTTTGTTTCAACTCAACACTTTACGGCCAAATTATTTAAAATAGATATCGACTTAACTCATGAATCAGTCACACATAATGAGCAAACGAGACTAACCCAATAATTAAAATAACAACTCCAAAGACATATGACCAGATAAAAAAAGAAAAGATCCAAACAAAATAGATTCTATACAAAAGACTAAATCGCTAATGCATCTGATTCAACAAAGAAAACCAACATTTTGCAACTTAAGAAATTAATTATTATTGAATTGTTCACCAAATAAAGTGCACTCACCCTTTATTAATTCAAAACCAATCTGCTTTTAATTCCAAAACTTATTCTATCCTATTTAATTAATGAATTCAATAGTAAAAACATACTAGTTCACAAATCTGAACAATACCAATATTGATCTAAGCAGTAGCACATCGCTAAAAATTGCACAAAAGTACCAAAATTGCACAAAAACCCTAATTCAACATTAATTAGATTAAAGCAAAAAATGAACCTCAAACTTTGAATTTGAAACTTTAACGGTTTTACAGCTCCGCAATCCGAAAGTGAACTAAACCATGAACGAACCAATCGAACTCGGCGGACTCGGCTCGGACCTCAACTCGACTCAGAAACTCTAGCTATTTTCTGGTAGTGCTTTGGAGGTTAGAAGTTGGGTTTCATGGTTATTTTGAAGTTGTTTTAATGGAAGTTCAAAGTCGAAACGGGCACAGCATGGAGCTACTGGTTTGCCGGTTTCCATAGCTGTTTTGGAGCTGCTTTTTCATGAGTTTGGGGGCTGTTTTAAGCTGATTTTCGTTGCTTTTTTGGCTATTTTTGCAGTTGAATTTTGCTGGAAAAAGGGCTATTTTTCAATTGCTTTTGGAGCTGTTTTTTTGGTGATTTTCGGCTGTTTTTCGGTAGGTTTGGAGTGGTTGACTAGGTTGTTTAATGTTATTTTTAAGGTGAAGATGATGTCGGATGAGTGGAGGTGGAGTATGGTGGTTCCATTGTATAAGATCAAAGGTGATATCCAGAGTTGTAATAATTATAGGGGTATCAAATTACTGAGTTATACTATGAAAGTGTGGGAGCGGGTGGTTGAAGCAAGGATGAGGATGGCAGTGTCTGTATCCGACAACCAGTTCGGGTTCATGCCAGGTCGTTCGACTACAGAAGCTATACATCTTGTTAGAAGGTTGGTGGAACTGTACAGAGAGAACAAGAAGGATCTGCACACAGTGTTTATTGACCTAGAGAAAGCGTATGACAAGGTACCTAGAGAAGTTCTCTGGAGATGCCTGGATGTAAAAGGTGTGTCGGTTCCATACATTATGGCGATTAAGGACATGTATGATTGGGCTAAGACTCGAGTTAGAACAGTAGGAGGCGACTTTAAGCATTTTCCGGTTGTAATGGGGTTATACTAAGGTTCCGCGCTCAGTCCGTTCTTATTCGCCCTGGTGATGGACGCGTTGACATACCATATTCAAGGAGAGGTGCCATGGTGCATGCTATTCGCCGATGACATAGTTCTGATTGATAAATCGCGAGCCGATGTTAACGAGAGGCTGGAGGTTTGGAGACAGGCTCTTGAGTCTAAGGGTTTCAAGCTGAGCAGGACGAAGACGGAATACCTGGAGTGTAAGTTCAGTGCTGAGACGATAGAAGTGGATGTGGATATGAGGCTTGAATCACAAGTCATCCCGAGTAGAGGCAGCTTCAAGTACCTTGGTTCGGTTATCCAGAGGGGATGGGAGATCGACGAGGATGTCACACACCGTATTGGGGTAGGATGGATGAAGTGGAGGTNGCAAGATGCGGGAAGCGAGGCTTAGATGGTTTGGACATGTTCAGAGGAGAAGCCCAAATGCTCCGGTACAGAGGTGTGAGCGGCAAGTAGTGCAGGGCACGAGAAGAGATCGAGGGCGGCCTAAGAAATATTAGGGAGAGGTGATCAGGCAGGATATGGCGAGACTCCAGATTTTCGAGGACATGACACATGATAGGAAGATATGGAGGTCGAATATTAGGATTGTAGGTTAGGAGGTAGTTGAGTCTTGCCTTAATTCGTACCATTGTGGGACTAGCCAGGTAGGGTTTTTGTCTAAGATAGTTAGTAGCAATGTTGTATCTTACTATTTCGCTTTTCAATAAAGGACCTATTTAATAGCTATCGCTTTGCTTTGCATCTTTCTTCTAGATTTCATGGTGTTCTTAATTTTCCTATGATTGTTGTGGTGATACTAATATTGTCTCCTTTTGTCCTTTTGTCTTTTTGTTTTCTTGAGCCGAGGATCTTTCGGAAATAGCATTTCTACTCCTTCGGGGTAGGGGTAAGATCTGTGTATACACTACCCTCCCCAGACCCCATTAGTAGAATTTTACTGGGTTGTTGTTGTTGTTGTTGTTGTTTCGACTGTTTTTGCTGCATTTTTTAGCAGAAAATGGCTTGGGGTCCTTTCAGGATGAATTTCGGGGGTCTTTTCACTCATTGTGGCAGCCATTTGAGCTGCTATTTTTAAACGTTTTTGGGGGTATGGAGTGGGGAACAAGGAGTGGGAGATATGAGTGGGGAACAAAGAGCGGGGCACATGAGTGGGGGACAAAGAGTGGGGGACATGAGTGGGGGACAAGGAGTAGGGGATAAGAGTGGGGGAATGAGTGGGAAAGTGAATTGGGGACACGCGTGGGGAAAATGGGAGCGAGAATGATAGAGTGAGAAGTTAGGTATTCGTGAGATGAGGGGGAAAAAATTCAAGCATGGTCAAAAATTAGGTGCTCACAATCCTTTAGGCTAAAAACTTAGGACCCCCTTTCTTTCTACGCTTGTTGTTCGCATTTAGTCATTTGTACTCCTTGTGATTTTTTAAGACTTATATCAATTAGCCATATAGTTAATTCTTATGTTATAATAGAATTTTCAACTTCTATATCTTTCTTTGCTTATTTGATCACCTGGCTTAATTCTCTAATCCACATAGTTTAAACATCGGCCGGGAACCACAATTGTGGACCTCGAAGAATGTCGAACACCTTCTCTTTGAGGTAATTTGAGCCCTTACCCGATCTTTGGTGGCGTTAACTAGTCAAAACAAAGTTATTTGCAAATATATGCCCTAACGCACCTTAAACCGTTAGGTGGCGACTCTTCAGAGAAAAGAGTTATCATGTGTCGAAGTCCGCTTTTGCGAGAAAACGGGACGCGACACATACTCCCTCCGTTCACTCTTAGTTGTCAAGTATTCTAAAAATAAATTTTCATTTTTACTTGTCACTTTTCGCATATCAAGAGAAAAATAATTTATTTTTCCTATTTTGCCCTTAGCATTAATTACTCATTTCAAATCATTTTTCAAATCTATTAAGACTACACCAATTAATATGGATATTATAGTAAATTATGCACTTTAATTGTTGTTTCTTAAGGGGTGTGCAAAATCGATAGTGGACAAGTAAAAGTGAACGGAAATAATATATTATTTTCCCAACCACATCCTACCACATAAAGGATTTACAGTACACGCTTATATACATAGAATCTCTGTGGTTCTTCTATCCAAGACGTAATGAGTCGATATCAAGGTGCTAACAATTTTGTCAACTAGAGTTTTAGGATGAAAATAGTGTTTTCATTGCAGGGAAGGGAAAAATTGTAAAATATTATTTGTGAATTATTACCCTTTCTATTATTTTTTTTCTCAAACCTTTTCACGTAGTACTAGCGCATAGCCGCGTATATTTTGTAGAATTAACGACCTTTTCATATAGCAAGTAATTTGTCTAAACTTGTGTCAATTACTCGATTTATTGGATTACTTCCATATTCAGGCTCTTACATTGGAACTCGGCCTCCTTTAAGGGCCAAAAACTGAACAAGAAGTACTAGGAAAGTAACCTTTCAATAAATCCCGCATCCGAATCCCAGTCAAATTGGGCATATCTTCTTCAATTCTATATAATCTAAGGTAGAGACATAAACATAGTAGCCTCAATCCTAAATCCTCTGTATTCATCACTCTATTCTATTGTATACTTTTCCCACCTGCTGCTGGTTCTTTTCCTTGAATCAAATTTGCTATTTCACTAATACCACATTGAGACCAAGAAAAACCAACCAATCATTAGTCCAACAAAACATGTCACGCCCTAATCATCCATCCTACAATAATGGAAATCCACGATATGTCCCGAATGCACCAGTTAGTCTCTTTTACTGGCAAACATGGAGCCATCAACTTCATAATTCTCAGCAAACAATGATGCAAATGGCATTATCAGTGCTTAATGATAACTATAACTACGAAAGTGATCGAATGTCAATGTACCTAAAAATAAGAATGCATTATGTTCCTGGAATGGATATAGATCCTGACGAGGGTCCAGATTCAGGAGCTGATTATGAGGAGCCAGAGACATGTGCGATCTGCATAGTAAGTAACAATGCAAAAAATTCCATAAATTTTGTTCGTTTTACTAAATAAGCAGTTGATTACATAGAGTTTGACTATTTTCTCTATGCTAACTGAGTCTATTGGTTTTGCCAGCTTGAGTATCAAAATGGAGATATCATAGGGAAACTTCAATGTGAACATGAGTTTCATGTGGACTGCATCAAGAAGTGGCTGCTGAAGAAAAAAGTTTATCCGTTGTGTAGAGCTTCAGCGGATACATTTAGTTCTTTATTAGTATTATTTTTAATCTTTACTCATCAATTCTTGTTAGTTTTTCCCATTTTTCTTTTCTTAGTGAAGTACTGAATTCAACTTTGAAATATGACCGTCTTGTCTGTCTAACCTGTTCATAAGTTGTGTAAGGCACAATCATTATTCTTGCTGTTAAGATTCTTCTTGCTTGAACCCTGAACCCAAAACCCTAAACTTAAAACTTGAAGATTTCGACACCTTAACCTGACCTGTTGAGCTAGTCTGATTGGTATGACGAGACTATGAGTAACACTTGATTACAAAGGGCCACCTAGAACTCAAGTTGATGCATATAGAAACTAAAAGGCAAGGCAGTCTAGCAATTCATTTCAAGTATGAGTGTCTTTCCTATGCAATGACAAACAGAGACAATTCACATTTCACAAAATATTCCAAAAAGGGAAACTTGAATTTCTAACATTTGGATACATACTGTTTAATGCTGGAGAGCATGTGGAACAACATCAGCTACCTGGAGCTTTTGAACTTCTCTACAAAAAAACTTGTTTATACTCTACAGTACATAAAATGGAGTAAAAATTCGTATGACCTCACAAAATTAGCAGAGTTGCAGACAGCAGATTAATAGCCATAAAGATGAAAATCGAACTGCTGATTGTACAAGTGCTGCTACTTATATCTTCAGAAGCTGAACCCAACCCCGTAGTTATTGATCCATTAAAGTTTCCACTACTCCTACTCAAGCTGCAACAGTAAAGCAGATCGTTTACCTCAAAAGCTGAAGAGTAAGATATAGCAGAGATTCAAGAATGTCCTTCAGATGACTTTGGCAGAAGGACTTTTTGGAACAATTGGTAAAGGAAGCTGCAAACACAATTTGCAAAGTTTCTATCTTTGATTCTATTTACAAAGTTAACTATAATTCAAATAAGTATCCATATTAATAGGAGGAGGATGTAACAGCTTTTGACACAATCCTTTCAATTAGCACCACGCTCAAATACCTGACCAATGTCTCGCGTGATGTTGTGCTTACTAAAGTTTCAAATAACATGGCATGTTTATAGTTAAGCAAAAGCAAATGCAAATGCAAAGATTATAGCTAATTCTTCTTCAAATTCTGCATCTGATGACAGTGCACTATATCAATTGGTACATCATACACAGTACACCAATCACGCAGGTGAATTCAAAATTAAGGGTCGAGATTCATTTGAGCGTGATCTATTATGTATATATATTTTAATTTTTTTTAACATAATGTTTTCATCGTTTGAGCCAAAGTAGTAGGTTCAGTTGAACCCGTGCAACCCGCTCTAGATCCATCTTTGCCATCAGTGACAAATCTACTATGTTGGCACTAGGTGCATGCACCAATTACCTTCATCTCGACTGATATATAGCTGAATTTTTTTTAAAATACACACAGTGATGCGTATGTGATTAAACTGGGTTTGTTGTTGTTGTGACGCTAAGTTAGAAAACATCACCACAAAAAGTTGTGGGTGCACTAGTATTACCCACCCACTGAATTAAACTTCAAAAATCTAGATTGACAACTGCATTTTTCTGAAGTAATTTAATCATATAAGTTAAACTTAAGATGTATTACCACAAATTACAGTAATTACCTCGATGGAAATTTACAACCATTATGACCTGAAAATTAAAAAAAAAAAAGAAATTAAGGGGAAAAAACAATCACTAACTGTATTATGTAATTATATTGAGATGCAAGTTAATATAATACTCACTGGGGTTTAGAGAAGTTAGAGCAGCAGAGTTGGCGAAATTACAGCTATCATCAGTCATTCCATGTTTAAGGAAGTAATCATTGAAGGCAAACGACGCCGTTCGCAGGATATCGGAAGCGTCGTAGCACGGCCCACCGGTCTGAATAGGCCCACAAGTAGCACCGCCGGGACCACAAGCCCAATCTATAGCGGACTGTAGAACAGCATCCTCAGCGTTGTTCTTTGCCACACACCACAACTCCACCGTCGCCCCTCCACCGCTGTCTCGGGCTGCACATAGGACGGAGATTAGAGACAATACAATGAAAGAAAAGGAGAATTTGGGAGACATCTTTTATGGGGTTATAGGGATTGATTAGTGAAAGCTTTAGGGGATTTTTTGAGAGAATTACAGTCAGAATTTGACCGTTTATTGAGATTCGAGAATGACGAGAAGTGAAAAAAGGGACGATTAGATTATTGGAAAGAGATGGTTCAGAGGCGACAAATGCACAGAGATTAGTACGAAACATACTCAGTTTCATGTTGCATTTTCTGGAATCCAGAGTGTTCCTTGTCAGCTTTATTGTTATGTTCCATTTTGAAATTGAGAATTGGTGGAAAAAAGAAAATTTCTTTTTCATTTTTTTCTTTTTCTTTGAGATAGTTGGAAATCACACCATAATATTTTTTTCAAAATAATGAATATGGATTTTCATACTATATGTTCAACATAGTCCACACAGAATTTTCAAATTAATATTAATTCTTGGTCATCTGCGGTAATGAATTCCACTTCACTTCCTTTTACCAAAGTGTTTCCTGTAGATTTTACTAGTTATTTAAAGGAAAAGAATTTGATGTAAAATCATATTTGGATTGAGTTATAGCTATCCTCATGTATACTGTTAAAATCGGGCTCACCCGATTCTACTGATTAACCGAGACCAGGAGGATGGATCGAGGATCGGCCCCGTAATAGATCAGACCGAGGCATGAGGATAAGGCACCGAGTTCGAAATTCGAGGTACGTGTCGAGATCGAGACCAAACGGGATAGACATCGAGCAAGACTGAAGATAACATAATAACGGAAAGGCGAGATATCCGTGACTGGTCGAGGATCATGGCGAAAATCTCGGAACGGATCAAATCAAGGACGGTTATTTAGTTAATCATGGGATTTCCTTCTGTAATTAGAATTGTACCATAAGTAAAAAAATTTTACTATATAAAGAGGAGTTCTAATCATTTGTAAACCATCTCATTCTCGCATATAAAAACAATATAATACTCTCTCTCTTATACTTTCTTGTTCATTAGTTTACTTCATACTTTATAACTTTATTATCAGTCAGTTCGAGGGCGTTCTAGCTCGAGGGCAGGATTGCATTTCAATACTGGTTTGCTTTACTTTACTGTTAATTTCTGTTATTAATCATTGCATTTACCAATTGGTACTAGGTGAAATCACGTGTCCTTAAAACCACTTATAAGTTTAATTGTTATCCGATTTTAAGGGTAAACAGTTTGGCGTCTACCGTGGGGCTAAGGATAATAGTGATTGCCCGGTATTAATTCTCATAACACACACTACTTTATGCTTGTTCTCGTAAGTATTTTTGATTTCAGGATCAGCATGTCGAACTCACAAGCAGTACCAACACACGCCGACAACAACCTTGGTTTTTATGGAGAAAATGGCAATATAGCCGCCCCATGGATCGAAGTACCTTAGGCTGGCCTCGAGGGAGTACCGATTGAAAATCTCGTCGACGTCAGTTCCCATGTCGCCCTAAATATAAATCTGGGTGTTGATCCCGAAAATAGCATCCACAGGGAAGTTTGATCAGGTGGTCGAGGTACGTAGGGCAGAGAAGACGGCGGAGTCAGCCTTCAACTGATATTTGAAATGTTACGGACTCAACAAGCTGCTATAGCGCAACTACAAAATCAGAACCGTGCACCGAGTGGGGTCGAACCCGAGCCCTCACTAGAAGTTGTTCACAAGGCCGAACCAGTACTGGAGAGGCCAAACGAGAATGAATCGGGGACTGACCCTGCCATTATGAAGATGCTCGAAGAGCTTACAAAGAGAATCGAATCGGGGGAGAAAAAGATTGAAGAAAATGACAAAAAGGTAGAAACGTATAACTCCCGAGTTGACCAGATACCGGGGGCACCTCCGATTCTTAAGGGTTTGGATTCGAGAAGATCGTGCAGAAGCCTTTCCCCCAAGTGCGGCTCCTAAGCCCAATCCTGAAGAAATTCCGCATGCTAGAAATTCCCAAGTATAATGGGACCACTGATCCTAATGAGCATGTCACTTCTTATATATGCGCAATAAAGGGGAACGATTTAGAAGATGACGAGATTGAGTCCGTTCTACTGAAAAGGTTTGGGAAAACTTTATCGAAAGGGGCAATGATATGGTACCACAATTTGCCGCCCAATTCCATTGATTCCTTCGCCATGCTTGGAGATTACTTCGTCATTGAACACGCCGGAGCAATAAAGGTCGCGACTAGGAAGTCGGACCTCTTTAAAATGAAACAGAAGAATAACGAAATGTTAAGGGAATTTGTATCTCGGTTCCAGATGAAACGCATGGACCTACCCTTGGCCGCAGATGATTGTGTTGTCCAAGCCTTTACTCAAGGTTTGAACGTACGAAGTACGGTAGCCTCACGGTAGCTAAAGCATAATTTAATTGAGTATCCAGCTATGACCTGGGCCGATGTGCATAATCGGTACGGGTAAAAAATTAGGGTCGAGGATGATCAGTTGGGAACTCTTTCCGGTTCCGTTTATCCAAACAGGCTCATCGACAGAATTCAAAGGGACATCGACAGAGAACCCCAATCAAACAGAGATCGGTATCAACCATATGGCAGAGATCGTAGGAACAACGGCCCTGTATGCAATCCTGTTCGAAGTGATCGAAGTAACGATCGAGAATAGAGCTCCCGAGGGCTCACGAGTAAGAGTGGTTTCGATAAACATGTTGAACCCACAGAAGCATCACGACTATCAGAATACAACTTCAGTGTCGATGCATCAGCTATTGTATCAGCCATTGGGCGGATCAAAGATACCAGATGGCCTCTACCTCTGCAGACCGATCCGGCACAGAGGAACTCAAATTAGATATGCAAATACCATGGTACCCATGGTCACAGAACGGAAGACTGCAGACTGCTAAGGGAGGAGGTAGCCCGCTTGTTCAACGAGGGCCACCTTCGAGAATTCTTGAGCGACCGAGCCAAGAACCACTTCAGAGATAGGGATGCAAACAGGAAGAACAAACAGGAATAACCACAGCACGTGATTCACATGATCATTGGTGGGGTCGATGTTCCGCAGGGACCCGTGTTCAAACGCACCAAGGTGTTGATCACCAGGGAAAAGCGAACTCGAGACTATGTACCATAAGGGACCTTGTCTTTTAATGACGAGGAAGCAGAAGGGATCTCACAACCCCACAACGATGCACTGGCAATATCTATTCTTATGAATAAAATTAAGGTTAAACGTGTTTTGATTAATCCAGGAAGCTCGGCCAACATTATTCGATCGAGGGTCGTGGAGCAACTCGGCTTACAGGATCAAATTGTACCCGCAGCTCGGGTTCTTAACGGCTTTAACATGGCAACTGAAACTACCAAAGGTGAGATCATCTTACCAGTAAACGTAGCCGGGACCGTTCAAGAAACAAAGTTCCATGTGATCGAGGGCGATATGAGATACAACGCCCTGCTCGGACGACCCTGGATTCATAACATGAGGGTGGTCTCTTCCACCCTTCACTAAGTTCTGAAATTCCCAACACAAGAGGGAGTAAAAATGGTGTATGGGGAACAACATACCGCCAAAGAGATGTTCGCGGTCGATGAAGTAATACCGGTATCGGTGCTTTCATCAACAAAGGGATCAGAGTCAAAAGGAAAGTAGGAGGCCAAATACAACCACAAGCACCAGCCTCAACTCATTCGGGGGAGCAGGGAGCAAACGAGGACGATAACTACTGGATCCCTCGATCCTTCATAATTCCCAACGATTTCGACGCCACCAAATCGACAGTTGAAGAGCTGGAACAAGTCGTACTGATCGAGGACCTGCCCGAACGAAAGGTACACCTGGGCACAGGGTTAACCCCCGAGCTCAGGAAAAAACTTATTCAATTCCTTTTAAATAACATGGATTGCTTTGCTTGGTGCCATCTCGATATGACAGGGATCTCACCAGAAATCACTACACATCAGATGAACTTGGACCCGAAGTTTCGTCCAATAAAGCAAAAGAGAAGGCCTTAGTCCGAGATTAAGCATGCATTCATCAAGGATGGAGGTAACAAAAACTTCTCAAAATAGGGTCCATTCGGGAAGTAAAATTTCCTGAATGGTTAGCAAACGTAGTGGTAGTCCCTAAGAAGGGAAATAAACTTAGAATGTGCATAGACTATAAGGATTTAAACAAAGCATGCCCTAAGGATTCTTTTCCTTTGCCAAATATCGATCTAATGATCAATGCCACGGCCGGCCACGAGATTCTTAGTTTTCTCGATGCCTAACCCGGATACAATCAAATACAGATGAACCCGGAGGATCAGGAAAAGACCTCATTTATCACTAAATACGGCACCTATTGTTATAACGTAATGTCATTCGAATTAAAAAATGCTGGTGCAACTTATCAACACCTAGTAAATCGAATGTTCGAAGAACAAATAGGAAAATCAATGGAAGTTTATATTGATGACATGTTAGTTAAGTCCTTGCGAGCAGAGGACCATTTGAAACATTTGCAGAAGACCTTCGATATACTAAGAAAGTACAATATGAAGCTCAACCCGGAGAAGTGCGCGTTCGGGGTTGGCTCGGGCAAGTTCCTTGGCTTCATGGTATCAAATCGGGAGATCGAGATCAATTCCGATAAAATCAAGGCCATCGAAGATATCACGGTCGTAGATAATGTCAAGGACGTACAAAGATTAACAGGGCGCATAGCCGCCCTAGGTCGATTCATTTCGAGGTCCTCAGATAGAAGTCACCGGTTCTTCTCACTCCTTAAGAAGAAGAGCAATTTTGCATGGACCCCGGAATGCCAGCAAGCCTTAGAAGAACTAAAATGATACTTGTCGAGCCCGCCACTTCTTCACACCCCGAAAGTGGACGAACAACTCTACTTATAATTAGTCGTCTCGAAAAAAGCGGTAAGTGGGGTCCTAGTTCGAGAAGAGCAAGGTACGTAATTCCCTATTTATTATGTTAGTCGGACCATAGGTAAGACTGAGACACGATACCCATACTTAGAAAAATTAGCGTTTGCTTTAATAAGCACCTCTAGGAAATTAAAACCATATTTTTAGTGTCACTCAATTCGTGTTGTGACTACCTGTCCCCTTCGCAATATTTTGCACAAACCCGAACTCTCGGGTCGATTGGCCAAATGGGCCATCGAGATCAGCGGGTACGACATCGAGTATCAACCCCGAACAGCCATCAAGTCTCAAATCTTGCAGACTTCGTGG